CCCCAAAACCCCAAAACCCCAAAACCCCAAAACCCCTGTCAAATTCTGACAACTTGAACTATTTAAAGGAAAAATATTTGTTCATAATAAATTAAATGGAAAAAATCACAAAAAGTATGAAAGTGCTGAAGAAAGCAAGGAAGAGAAAGCCAAATAATGACTTAAAAGGGTCTACGGCTAAGAGGTTCATGGCTTCTGGGGAGAAATCGGATCAAGGCAAAGAGGAAACTAAAGTTAAGGGGCTGCAGACTTGGAAATCTGATGGTAAGGTCTTCTGAAGTCTAAAACTCTGATGAGAATTTAGTATAGCTATGATACATTTTAAATCCAATTTTCACCTAGATTTATGAAGCAAGCTTTTAATTTCTGGTATCCAACAGACGACCTTAGTCTAAATGATATGTCCACAACCACCTTGCTTAGTTTGGGTATCCAAAAGAGATAGTTATTTCTCAATGAATAAGCTAAGCCTATAAATTACTGTAACTCTGGTCTAACTTAATGACTCTTAATCGCTAACTCAATGGATATTAGCTCCTAAACATTATTTCCAGTACCAACTGGTTTTAGTTGACTCTTCAGGGATTCATGGCAGAAGTGGTACTAAGCTTAGTCATACAGTCAGATCATTCAGCTCCTTTTGGATTTAAAATAGAATTATACAGCTATTTGAGCTAATTTTAGTATATTTCATTTGGATGCCAACCACAACTAAAGTTAGCTGAAGGAATATTGCAAGCGGGGGAGTTAGCCTTTAGATTGTGTTTGAGTTCTAATCTTTTTTGTGGGGAATCTAGTTTCTATTTTAACAACGCATTTTGCATTTTTATTGGAAATGAGGTCTTAAAGTGTTATGTTTAGGATCCATCTTATTTGCCGATTTCGGAGCAAAATCTAGTGATAAAGTTGCAGGATTTGACATGGACTCCACACTCATTGATACTAAATCAGGTGCTCTTTTTGCGAAGAATGCAAGTGACTGGAAGTGGTGGGATGAGACTGTGCCAAACAAGCTCAAGGAGATCTATGAAGATGGCTACAAGATCGTTATTTTTAGCAACCAAGCAGGAGTAGAGATCAATAGAGTTAAGCCTGAAACACTCAAGGGGAAGTTTACTCAGCTTTATAGTAGTCTGAAGATCCCATTCCAGGCATTGTGTGCCACTTCGAAAGACGAAAATCGCAAGCCGAATACTGGCATGTGGAAGTACTTTGTTCAAAATTGTAACAATGGAGTAATCCCTAAAAAGACTAAGTCTCTCTACTGCGGTGACGCAGCGGGGAGACCAAAGACCAAAACTAAAAAGAAAGATTTCAGTGATGGTGACAGGAAATTTGCTCTCAACACCGGTCTTACCTTCTATACTCCAGAGATGTACTTCTTGGGCATCAAGGAGAGACTTCCTCCTCTCGCTTTTAATGTCAAGAAGTTGAAAGACCTGGAAGGCAAATCTCCCACTGGTGAAGAAGAGAAGTATGCCAAAGAGGAGCAAGAAATGATCATATTTATCGGCTCCCCTGGGGCTGGAAAATCAACATTTTGGAACAACTTTTTAAAAGATTATGTTCGTGTCAACAACGACACGCTCAAGACGAAGGAAAAGTGCATGAAGGTGGCTAGGCAAGCTCTTGAAGAAGGAAAGAGTTGTGTGATTGATAACACAAACCCTGATGCTGCTACCAGATCTCGGTATACATCAATAGCAGAGGAGTTGAAAGTTCCATGCAGAGCATTTCTATTTGATATTGAGAAGAATATCTGCATGCACAATAATGATCAAAGGAAGGTAAACTCACATAGGAGCCATTTCTCAAAGAAAGTGTCTAATGTTATTATTCACACCTTCTTCAAGAGATTGGAGAAGCCAGCTGAAGAGGAAGGGTTCAGTGAAGTTAAGACAATCAAGTTTATCCCTGGTCCATTTGAAAGCACAGGAGATGAAGAAAGCTATTACAACAGTTAGAATTTATCAGAAAAGGATTTTGTCAATTTTAAGCACTTTTAAGGGGTTTTGGGGTTTTGGGGTTTTGGGGTTTTGGGG